ATTTTATATTGTATGTCATAATACAGTATAATAAATACTTTAGATTTTAAAATAAATTTTTATTTAATTTATTTTTACTTTATCAAAATTAATTGTTAACAATTATATAAAATTTGTTTTGCAGTTACACGTGCTTTATTATAAATTTCATTTAAGTGTTTAATTAAATTACCCATTACTCATTTATGTATTGCACTAAAAAGGTATTTTTAAAATTATTTAAAATGTTTTAGAGCATACAAAATTAAATTCATATTGAGCATAAATTTATGGACAAATGTGTTAAACATTAACATTCAACATTCATTACACAATTTATATTTCAAGGTTGGCACTTATACTGTAATCATCAATCATATAAACATTCACATTTTATAGAGTAATTGATTATATTGTATATTTTTATTTAACAAACATTATGTCTAAATGTTGTGTGTAGAAACTTTGTCAACTAATTAACATACTGCATAAGAAAAAGTGTATATAACTTATAAATTTGTAAATAATTAATAAACTATAACTAAATTTCTATATTAATATATTTGTGTTATAATTGTATACAAAATCTGTGTTAAGCCATGAGTGCAGACATTCACGGATTGACTGATATATCAAACCAAACAAAAGTCGCGGAAATACGACAAAAGTTTGCGATTGAAGTCCAGACTAACCCTCATCTCTATCATGACATCGACATCGAGAGAGTCCGGTGCGAGGACTGGCAGGTCGAGAGGTTTGTCATAGACTACCCGTCCATTGACAAGGCCTACGAAGCACTTGTGAAAGCCATGCGTTGGAAGAAGTCATACGGCATTCACGACAGGAGTTATGCATACTTTCCCAAAGAGTTCACCTATATATTAGGCCAATGCTATCAGGACCGGGAGGGGCGGGTAGTCCGGTGGCCAGTGTGTCGACAATACCTTAAAATGACAGACTTTTCTCAATTAATACAACAATACCTGTGTTTTTGTGTTGAATCAGATGACAGACTGGCGGGTAATAAAGGTGTTGTAATTGTATGTATGGTAAAAGGGACAGGTATGGCCAGTGTAGACATGCCATTAGCCATGTTTATGCTAAAGGCACTGGGCAATTATCCACAGGGTTTACGGCTGGCTGTATTTGTGGACATACCCTGGATATTGAGCAATCTGGCTAAAATAGTGTTGAAATTATTACCCAAAAGTGTTGAAAATAATGTAAAATTAATTAAATGCCATGAATTGGTCAAGTATTTCGATGTCGAAGAGATTCCCGTGACTTTTGGTGGTAAACGAGTGGCCAGTTATCTATTTATTGATGAGATGTCAGTCCTCTATGAGTGCAAACACTTGGGTTTCAGTGATAAACAAATTGATAACTTTTATGATGTCTATAAGGATTTACTAACAAATATTAATAATTATATATGATTTAAATTTAGTCTTATTTAATTTAACTTGCAATCTTAAAACATTTTATGAACAATGTGAATTTGTGTTCGAGTTTAAAAATTATTGTATCATTATAATAAATAGTTATTGTTTTATTTAATATAATTCTCGAAATATTCATAAAATTAACTTTAATTTTATTTTATTTATTTAAAAATTGATAAATAAAATAATCTGGCAAATATTATAAATTTGTTTCAATAACATGTTGTCAAAAATAGGTCAATAAATTCAATATAACATAAATAAAGTTTTATTATCCCTAATAAGGTTGCTAGTGAATAATGAAATTATTGATTAGTTTCAATTGAATTTATGTACAAAATTTAATGAAATAGTTATTAGCAGTAAAATGTACTTGTATATATCCGGAATGATTTAATGTGCAATATTTGATTTGTATATAATTGTGTTGTCTATGCATTGGATTTAATATAAATGTTAATTCAAGTATAACTATAATTTTATATATGATTACTATTTAATAATTATGTTAACAAGTTCATAATTATTAATGTAATTAAATTTATAGTTTAAATAGTGATTAAATTAATTTTTATTTAAACAGTATTTATTAATAATAATTTAATATATACATAACGACCCTGATGATTTAATTGCTGTACTAAATTGTTTAAAATAGTATTTTCAGTATTGATGTACTAAATCACATAAGTTTTATATATTGATTAGACTTCGATATAATATAAAATATAATAAAATGAGTTATATCCGTGTATACATCCTTGTTCACAATTATTTTATATTGATTTTAAAAATCATTTTCAATAAAACAAGAAAATATTTAAACTATTGACAGAATTTGTGATAAATATTATATTTGTTATAAATATTTCAAACAATATCTAAAGAAATGTCTGAAGATTTCCACGAATTGACTGATATATCAAACCAAACAAAAGTCGCGGAAATACGACAAAAGTTTGCGATTGAAGTCCAGACTAACCCTCATCTCTATCATGACATCGACATCGAGAGAGTCCGGTGCGAGGACTGGCAGGTCGAGAGGTTTGTCATAAACTACCCGTCCTTAGACAAGGCCTACGAAGCACTTGTGAAAGCCATGCGATGGAAGAAGTCTTATGGCATTCACGACAGGAGTTACGCATACTTTCCCAAAGAGTTTCCCATAATTTTCGGAAACGTGTCGTACAGTCATGACAGAGAGGGACGGGTAGTCCGATGGGCAGTGGGTCGTTACTACCGCAAAATCACCGACTTTTCCCCACTTGTGATACAATACTTAATATATCAGTTTGAGAGACAGGACAGGGAGGCCGGCAATAGGGGTACAGTGGCTGTAAACATGATGAAAGGGGCCGGTATGTCAAACGCCGATATGAGTGTCGTATCATTTATGAAGGATTTGGTCGAGTATTACCCAATGGGCCCCCGTATGGGCCTCACAGTGGACTTACCCTGGATTTTGAGCGGTTTATTCAAAGTGGTGTTAAGTTTGTTACCAAAAAGTTTTCAAAATAAAGTGAAAATAATTAAAAGCGAAGAATTAGTCGACTATTTGGATGTCGAGGAAATTCCCGTGACTTTTGGTGGCAAACGAGTGGCCAGTTATCCACTTATTGATGAGATGTCAGCCCTCTATGAGTGCAAACACTTGGGTTTCAGTGATAAACAAATTGACAACTTTTATGATACTTATAAAGACTTATTTAGTGATTATAAATTAAATTAATAAAATTAAATTAAAGTGATTCTATAACCCACACTTTTTACTTCGTAAATGTGGGTAAAAAATAAGTTAATAATTGTTAAAATTGATTCAATAATTGATTCAAGTGTATTAATATAAAATAACTAGTTAAATTATAATGTTACATTTTAAAAGTATAGCATAGATATTAATTTTTTTTATTTAATTATATATTTATACTGAAATAAAAGTAAAATAATAAAAATTATACTTATATTTGGTTTGTTAGAAAATTCTTAGATAAAGTATGTCCTTGGACATATCGTCCCTAACGCACTGAACATAAGGATATTTATTTATCATTCAACACATTTAACCTTCACTAAGTACAACCGGTTCAATTAGTTAATGAAATAATATTAACAGTGAATAACTTGTTATAACTTTAAAGCAATCTAGCTATTGATTTACTTATTTTTATCCAGGATATAGATTACAAACAACATTTATCGTGTGTTCATCAAACAGTATATATAAAGAGATTCTCTAGAAAATTGTTATATCAAATATTTTTATTTAACTTCAGTTATAATTGTATACAAAATCTGTGTTAAGCCATGAGTGCAGACATTCACGGATTGACTGATATATCAAACCAAACAAAAGTCGCGGAAATACAACAAAAGTTTGCGATTGAAGTCCAGACTAACCCTCATCTCTATCATGACATCGACATCGAGAGAGTCCGGTGCGAGGACTGGCAGGTCGAGAGGTTTGTCATAGACTACCAGTCCTTAGACAAGGCCTACGATATGCTCGTGAAGGCGATGCGATGGAAGAAGTCATACGGCGTTCACGACAGGAGTTACGCATACTTTCCCAAAGAGTTGCATATAATCTTCGGCACCTATACCCGGGACCGGGAGGGACGGGTAGTCCGGTGGGCATTGGCTCGTAATTACCGGAAAGTGTGCGACTTTTCAACAGTTATGCAACAATTTCTATGCAATTGTGTTGAGGCAGAGGACAGACTAACCGGGAATAGAGGTATAACTGGTGTTAACCTAATGAGTGGCGCCGGTATTGCAAACACAGACATGTCTCTCATGAAGTTTATGGTAGAGGTGATGGGTTACTATCCAGGTGTGCTACGTGTGAGTCTCGGTGTGGACTTACCCTGGATACTGAGCGGTTTAATGAAATTATGTTTAAGTTTGTGTCCGAAATATATCAGAGAAAAGGTTAAAATTATTAAAAGTGAAGAATTGAGTGATTATTTCGATGTCGAGGAGATTCCCGTGGATTTTGGTGGCAAACTGGAGGTTCATAATCCATATATCGATGAGATGTCAGCCCTCTATGAGTGCAAACACTTGGGTTTCAGTGATAAACAAATTGACAACTTTTATGATGTCTATAAGGATTTGTTTGATTATAAAAATTAATTCATTTTTAAAAATTATTTTATATTATAAAATCTTTTTATTACATTTTAATATCTATACTGTTACGATACTATAAATAACATACATTAATTATTTATACTTTTAATGTTACTTTATAAATATCAATTACTATTGAACAATTACTAAATACCGTAAAACCTGGTTTTTTAGACCATGGTCTAGGATTCCAATTTGGACACTTTTGAGAAAATAGACCGATTGCTATGGTCTAACA